GATACACGGTGTAGGATCACCTGGACGATTTGGCCTGGACAACTTTGCCCAAAAGGTTTTAAAGATATCCTAGGAAAGTACTGATGCATCATAAATGTTACCCTTTTGTGTTTTATCTCATTGTTATAGTAGACATTTCCATCTTATGATTACCTTGGGACTTAAGTAATGGAAAATACCTGAAAAAGTACATGAATCTCCCAAAAATGTGCATTCCTTTTAGCAAGCATTCGATACTACACTAATGAACAAGATTGTGTGGGATAAAAGTGTACAATCTCTATGTATTCTGAGCATAAGTGGGTCAGTTTCCCTACTGGTGTCATCTAATAAGCTTCTCTTTTACGAATTGAAGAGATAATGACCTGGTTCTTTTGCTCCAGGCACAAGCCCTCACTAAGCAGTGATGTTCATGGAGTCATCCAACAGCACCACTGATCTCTAGTGGTCAATGTGTCAAATCTGTTCTTGAGATGTTCTCTAATTTCAGCTGGGATAAACTCAAGGTCTTATTTTGGCTTCCACAGACTATTTTAATTTTCTTCCACTGCAACTTAAACTTCCATTTGAGCAACTGATGGTGTGCTCCAGTTGGCCAGCTTATTCAAGCAGATGATATTGAGCTTCTCAGCTGGCAAGTTCCACAGATGACATCTGTGTATTACAAACGACAAGGTCCACATGTCACTGTCAACTTTTATGTTGTTGGAAATGGGTGTTTGAGTTGAAAAGTCCTTGATTTTGCAAAATTCTATCATGCCATTTCCAGAGTTGTTTAAACACCAAGACCATGTTTTCCAAGTAACAGTTCTTTCTCTTTGTTTCCATATTACACATCTCAACCACCAGTAATTATCAATGGGTCTTGAGGTGATCAATTTCAGACTTAACAAGTTGGTGGAATTGTTCAATTTCTTCAACATTGGCTTAGTGGTTGGTGCATAAATTTGAATTGAAGTCATAATAATTGGTCTTTCCTGTAGGTAATATGACATGTAGTGAATTAATATGGTCTTTCTAGCTATTTGTGATGTATTATACTCCTGGGTTATATGCCCATTGCTATAAACCCATTTTAGCAAGCATTTTCTACTATGCTAATGAACAAGATTGTGTGGGATTAACATGCCTTCAGTACACAGGTGTGAATCAAGTCATACCCTTCGTTTTCTAGGGGGTCCCTTTAGACTACTACAGAGTGTGAGCAAATAATCAGAGAAACTAGACATCAAGGGCATGGCCCCAGAATTGGAGGGAGGTTTAACAACCTGCAATGATATGCAGGTGATACAACCTTGCTTGCTTAAAGTAAGGAAGAGTTGAAGCACTTGCTGATGAAGATCAAAGATTGTAGCCTTCGGCGTGAATTACAACTCATGTAAAGACCAAAAATCCTTACAATTGGACCAATAGGTAAGAAGATGATGATAAGTAGAAGAAAAGTTGAAGTTCTCAAGGATTTTGGCTTGCTTGGATCCACAATCAATGTTCACTGAAGCAACAGTCAAGAGATCAAAAGATGTATTGTACTGGGTAAAACTGATGCACAGACCTCTTAGGAGCATTGAAAAGCAAGAATGTTACTCGAAGATGAAGGTGAACCTGACCCAGGCCATGGTATTTTCAATCGCTTCCTACGTGTGTGCAAGTTGGACAAAGAAGGAAGAACAAAGAATAATCGATGTTTAAAGTGTAGTCCAAAGTATCATGGACGGCTAAATAGACAAACAAATCTGTCTTAGAAGAAGTATGGCTAATGATGGCCTGATGCAAATGTTTTGAATGTACAAATGAATGTACAAATGTGCTTTACACAACTGATCTATGTATGGATTGTGATAAGAGTCATAAGAGCCCCTAATAAAACGATTTAAAAAAATCCTAAGGGAAAAAAAAGAAGAAGTATGGCCTAAGTGCTCCTTAGAGACAAGGATGGCAAGACTTTGTCTTACATACTTTGGACATGTTGTCAGGAGAGACCAGTCCCTGGAGGAGGATATTGTGTTTGGTAAAGTAGAGGGGCGGTGAAAAAGAGAAGGCTCTCAAGGACATGGATTGATACATGCCTGCAACAATGGGCTCAAGCATAGGAACAATATAAGAATGGGCAGTAGTTTCATTTTGTTGTGCTATGAGTTGCTATGAATGGAAATGGACTTGGTGGCACCTAGTAACAATAGCCAGCGTGACTTCAGACATCCTTTGTTTTCCTCTGGGGTAAGATCTGTCGCATCAAAGCCATTCCTTAGCTATCTGTAACACAGATAGCTTATACACAAATAGCAAAGAAAAGGCCTGGTTCTGTAGGAGCCCTGGTGGCGTAGTGTTTATGAACTGGACTGCCCACAAGTCAGCAGTTTGAAACCACCAGCGTATCTGAGGAAAAAAGAGGCTTTGTACTCCCACAGCGTTACAGTCTTAAACAAGCAGCCATTTAAGCGAGGAGGAGTCCACTAAATCTACATGGAAGAAGCACACTAGAGCTTGTGTGATCCACAGATGAAATAACAAAATTCAAATATAACAACGGGTAAAGTATCAGAACTTAATTTGCTAACACCCTATTGGGGGACTGTGACCTTTTCTTTCTTACTACAGTATTTGTATTTTTATCTCTGTATTATTATTTTACCCTAACCACTTAATTTTTCTGCTTTTTATTGTTTCTGTTGGGTTTTCCAGATTGTGAAGCACAGGAGTAGATACACAGAGATAAGAGCTGATGCGAAGGTTTACATGGAGAGGTGGGGGTGGGTGGGAGATGGGGAGTATTAGAGGGCAGGGGAAGCAAACAGTATATGTGGGAGGAAGCACTAGAACTGATGGTGATTACACAACTCATGATTTAATGGGGGGGGGCCCCCCATGGGGAAGCACCCAGGGAGAAATTATTCTAAAATTGATTGTAGTAATGATTGTAGAACTCTTCTTAATATGATTGAACTCTTAAGTTGTTTGATAGATGAATTAAGTGCCAATAAAACTGTTTTAAAAAGAGCTGCGGTCTCAGAAACTCATTGGGTCAGTTCTACCTTGTCCTTTGAGTTGTGATCGATTCAACAGCAGTTTGGTTTGGTTTGGGGACATGAGAGAAACCCCAGCACTGTTTAGATCACTCTGAAGATCTCTGAGGTGGCAGAGCCACTGAGATCAGATGCAGTCCGTGACACACATGCTCAGAGGCACAGAATCAAGGGAAACCTACCTTCCTTCTCCTCATCTGGCCTGCCTTCCTGGCCCATGACAGTAAAGAAACAAGGGATTGTGGGGCGGAGAAACAAAGGACCCGAGAGACTTGGCTGCTGGCTGAGAAGTGTGGCTATGAATGAATGACTGTGGCCTTACTATTTACCGTTTACGCTTTGTGGTAACATATGAATTTCCTCTAAATAAACCCCCTTAAGTGCGAATTTCTTTATGAGCTCTGTGTGGCCAATGCCAGGAATTGCTTGGTGTCAGAATTGGCTAAGGAGGAGGGACTGTGGAGACAGGTCTTGCCCCTGCCTCATGGCAATCGAGAAGTCTAAGGCCAACATGCAAGTTACTGCCATATATGGATATTATTTTATCATAGACAGCAGTGTACTTCAAGAGAGATCTTGAAATGTTCTTTAAGGTGTTGGCAAAGAATACGGACACTCTCAAAGATGGCCAGAAGAACAAACTAATATCTTTTAGAAAAAGTACAGAAAGAATATTCCTTAAAATCAAGGATGGCGAGACTTTGTCTCATTTACTTTGGGTAAGTTTTCAAAGGGGGCCAGCCACTGGAAAAGGGCATCATGCTTAGTACAACAGAGGGCCAGAAAAACAGAGGACTCTTGGTGAGATGGACTGACAGAGTTGGCTCATATGGGCACAAACATAACAACATAACCGCAATTGTGAGGATGGCAAAGGACTGGGCATTGTTCTATTCCATTGTATCAGTATCCAGGTTGTTATCAGTAGGAACCAACTACTCACACCTAAGAACAACGCTTCAATTAAAAAAATATTGTTGGTTTGTTTGTCAGCATAACAGTGAAGTGCTCAACTGGTAACAAAAATGTAGTTTTGAACCCACCCATCAGCTTTATAGGAGAAGGGCCTCATGATCTACTTTGTAAATATTAAAACCAAACTAAATCAAACCTGATGGTGTCGATGGTGGCTCACAGCAACCCTACAAATTAAAACAGAACTGCCCTATGTTGTCTCCAAGGCTGTGAGCCTTTGTGAAAACCGACTGCATACGGTTCTCCCTCGGAGTAGCTGGGGAGTTCGACTGTCAACCTTTCAGTCAGCAGCCGAGTTCTTAGAGCAATGGCCACCAGGTGTCTCTGGTAAAGATTATACTCGAGAAACATCAACAGGGCAGTTCTATTCTGTCACATGGGGGGACTATGAGTTGGAAATGGACTCAATGGCACCCAACAACTACCTGATTTATGGGCCATTTCTGTAGTGCTCACACCATGAATGTTCTGACTGAATCTATTTCATTGCTGTTGTTTTCCCCTTAACAACCTGAGCAGGAAGGTCAAGGAACAAACTAGGAGTTCTTCCTTAAACTTGCTCAGTTGACAAGGCATGCTCAAAGCAGCTGAGTTTCTGGATCAGGAACCTGTTTGACCTTTTCCTTGGTAAAGTGGTATTGGGGGTGGGGGTGTCACACTTGATTATAAAGGTACATTTTCTACCAGCAGAAAAGCTACTTTGTGAAGGTGCTATTTATTGTAGCACTATTTTGCGAACATCAGGCAATACTAAAGAAAAATAATGAAGTACTTCACTTTGTGAAATCTTAGCCAAACCCTCTTTATAACAGTTACGTTCTGGCTTCAATATGCCACAATTCATTTGGTTTTCTGCCTTCTATACCAACAAATCCCTAATTTTTGTTTTGTGTTCAAGGATTAACCCAATAAATGAAACCGTGCTCTGGCATGAATATTAGCAGATCATTTGTATATTTACATCACAGCTACAATGGACTATTGGAAAGGCAATTATCTTACCTTTTTTCATTTCCATATGACTTCTGTGCAACTTTTGCATGAAGAATAAGTACTGTTTGATCCCCTCTCTCCTTTAAATAATTCCGCATCGCTTCCCTAAAATCAAATATATAATTACTTACTATGGGGGTGAAATCTGTTGAGATCTTTGCAATAAATAAATGCTGATGATTATTTTTCAAACAAGCAAAAAAAACTAAGAGAACAAACCATACTCATGAAATAAACGGGACAAATATTAAACAGCAAAGCAAAACATACGGCTACCCTGATACTTACTGGATTTTTAAAAAAGGAAACTATCCCTCATTCTTTTGAATTTATGATGTAACTCAGTTAAACTGCAACTTCTAGAATAACTATAGTCACCATGTGCAGTGTTAATGTGGCTTGAAATTGTCTCTTTTAAAATTTATGACATGAAATACTTTTATAGTTTAATAATCTAGTTAGCCCCAACGATTGCTCTCCCTCAGCTAACAGTTCCAAAAGCAAAGTTCCCTGCCAACTCATAGGGACCTTATAGAATTGTGGATTTCCGAGACTAACTCCTTACAGGAATAGAAAGCCTAATCTTTCTTCCTTGCAACAGCTGGTGGTTTCAAATTGCAGACCTTGCGGTTCACAGCCCAACTACTAACTAGTGCATGTTTATATTTAATATGAAAGCCATAATAAATCATTATGTTGTCCAAATTTATACCACAATCCTAAACTGTTGTTAACTCTTATATAAGGGTAAAACAGACCCTAAAATTTATATACAAATACACATTTATGGTTAAAGATAAGACTAGATATAAAATTTAATAAATACCATTTGAAACCGGTAAAAAAAATTGACTTAAACTGAAAAAATACATTACTGTATATACTCGTGTATAAGCCAAGTTTTTCCAGCACATTTTAAATGCAGTTTTGTGGTAAAATTAGGTGCCTCGGCTGATGTTCGGGTAGGTTTATACTCAAGTATATATGGTAATTCCTTAAAGTACAAATGATCACAATTCCTAACTAGTTATGCAGATGTTTACTCAAAATTATTTTCCTAAGCAACATTATCTAGTACAGAGAAACAAGTTGGAAACAAATCAAACAACCACAATTCTGAAATGGCAGAATCCTAATTCTTGAAGAATGCTTATCACAAAATCAAAGACAACAGATATTCAGAAATAATTATCATTAAAATCATTAACAGTGAATATCATTGTGTTCATTCTTCTGGGCAATATGCTACACAAGACAAAAGACATATCTAACTTCATCCCTGTTAAGGAGTGCCTATTTAGTAGAGATTCACATATATGGTAGTTATATAATTATCAATTTAAGGATTAAGAGTGAAGGGGTGGAGTCTAGTCTGTCAATCAGGTCATAGCCAATAAGACCTCTGTGTGGGCCTGGTCTTCTCCTGATGATTCTGGGAACTCCTGTATTTTCCTCTTTGGAGGCAGGAGACACACTCTCTCTGATCAGTCCCTGGGAGACTCTTTACTGACAAAGTTCACTCCCTGGGAGACATTTCTGAAGAGAAGCCACATGAAGCTACCCTGAGGCTGAGTTCAGAGCTGAAGGAACCCTTAGGAAGGAACATGGGACCCTTGCCAGCCCTGAGATGCTTACAACGCCACTAGCCTGTGATCGTCCTACATTCAGTGTCATTACATGTGTTTCATGAGTCTGAAGAGAACTTTATAGATTGATGTTGGACATATGGACTAATATCAGACTTATGGACTTGATCTGGACTGGGATGGGATGTTTTCTCAATATTTAATTGCTCTTGTATATATCTCTTTCTTATACATGGGTGCCTATGATTTGTTTCTCTAGTGAGATAGTTTACTGTGCCAGCCTGGCCAATAAACATAAGTGGGATTAACTGAAGGGCGGAGAGAGTAATGGCTCGGTGAGCCTCGCCTTTCTTGTTTCTCGCTCTTTGATCATTGGACCAGTGTGCGGCTGCCTTGCTTGTTCTGTGCCTCAACTTACAGGCTACACTACCTGTGGGATGCCCAGCCTGTGAACTGTGTCGCTGTAAGTTGAGGTCCCTTTAAGACATCTCTGGAGCTGGGGACTGGCGGTTGGTGACCTGCCTTGTGATTGTCTGCTGTGCTGAGATAGCCCAGCTCGCTCTCTATATAGAGGAAGACCTGGCAGTAGACAAGACTTAAAGGACTGCTAGTGTCTTACAACTCTCTCTCACAGGAGTGAGTTGCACTGAGCCATTTGTGCTTCATAATTTAACTGTTCATTTCCTGTATTATATATCTATTTGTATATAATTTAACTGTTCATTTCTTGTGTTACGTATCTAATTATCTTTATAAATAAATATATTAAATTATCAGCAATTTGGTTTTATCTCTCTAGAGAACCCTGACTAACACATCTAGTCTACCCAGACCTAACACAACATAGACACATCACCCCAATCTCTACGTCATCCATGGTACCAAATCTAAGAAACGTAGCTCTAGACTAGCTCTGTCACTTAAAACTAACCTCTAAACACAAGAGATAAAAATGTCTATCTCACACAGGGTCGCTGTGGGGATTACGTTGAGCTGGCCAAGATCACATTTTGTATCCAACAACTGAAAACCTACTCCTGTGCAGGTTGGGACTGAGAACTAACTTTACCACTGAAAAAATGACCTACGGAATAGTAACTGTATTGGAACACACGACATGAAGAGGCATACACACAAATCAGAGGCAGAAGAATGAATGGCAAGAGAAGGTCTGAGACAATGGAATACATGCCTGGAGAGCCAGCTTAGAAGAATTACAAGAGGAGGAAGAATCAGGCCTGAGAATAATGAATGATCCTGCACATTTGAGACTCAAGCTAAAGACTAAGTCAATGAAGCAATGGCTAATACTTCTTGCATATTTATTATGTGCCAAGCCAGGTATTATTGTGATTATTGTTCGGTGTCACTGAGGTAGCACCAACTCATGGCGACCCAAAGTTCAGCTGTGTGTTCTTGCACCATCCTCACAATAATTGTTTGTGGTCATTGTGCAACCACTGTGGCAATCCATCTCATTAAGGCTCTTTCTCTTGTTTGCTGACCCTCCACTTTACCAAGTATGATGTTCTTTTCCAGGGACTGGCCTCTCCTGATAACATGTCCAAAGTACATGAGAGGAAGTCTCACATCCTTGCATCTAAGGAACATTCTGACTGTATTCTTCTAACATAGATGTGTTTCCTCTTCTGGCAGTCCGTGATATTTTCATTACTCTTTCCCATTAGTATACATCAAAGGCAACAATTCTTCAACTGCCTTCTTTAGGGTTCACCTTCCACATGCCGATGAGGCAATCGAAAAGACCATGGCTTGGGTCAGGTGCACGTTAGCATTAAATCCTTGACAACTTTGATCCTCTCTCCATTTATCATGATGTTGGTCAATTGTGAGGGTTTGAGTTTGCTTTACATTAGGTTGCAATCCTTACTGAAGGCTGCAGTCTTTGATTTTCATCAGAAAGTGACTCAAGTCCTTGTTACTTTCAGCAAGCAAGGTTGTGTCATCTGCATAATAACTGTTAACAAGGCCCTCTTTTAATCGCTTTAAATGTGTTATTTTACATAACTCTCAAAATCCAAAAAGAAAAAACTCACTGCCATTACTTTTCTGAATAGCTTGTCCAAGGTCTCACAATTAATAAAAGCAGCAGAGCCCTTGTGGAGCTGTGTTTAAAAACTTGGCTGCTAACCAACAGGTCAGGGGCTCTAACCCTGAGCTGTTCCATGGGAAAAGGATGTGGCGATCTGCTCCCATACACATTTATGGGTTTAGAAATCCCTTGGGGCAGTCTTACTCTGTCCTATAGGGTTATGTGAGTCAGAATCGACTCAACATCAATGAATTTGGCCTGCTTTTGCAGGCAGAAGTAAAACAAATTCTCCAAGAACTTAACTCATACCAGGCCAGTGACAGGATGAGTAGTGCCAGACTGTGAAAGGCCTGGAAAATGTTTTTTAAACTTAAAATATTACGTATAAAAGTTTAGACAAATTTAAATATCACCTTATGGTAGATTACAAAAGCAGTGGTAGCAAGTAATAAAAATTTTTTCCCCTTAGTGAAATGAAAAAACATCATCCAATTGTATCTCCATCTCACAGAAAAACCTGGATTTGCCATCCATACTTGAGGCAATGAGAAACCTTGAGACTTTCTAAACAGGTAATTACCATATATACTTGTGTATATGCTGAGTTTTTTTTCAGCACATTTTTAATGCCATTTTGTGGTAAAATTAGGTGCCTCAGCTGATATTCGAATCGGCTTATACTTGAGTATGTACAGTAATTCTCCTGTTCACTTAGTTAAATCTAGGAGCAATTCCTTGAGTAGCACAAATGGCCAAGTACTCAACTATTAGCTAAAAGCTTGGGGGTTAGGACCCCACTGTCTGAGGCTGCGTTCTCTAGAGAAGCAAATCTAGCAAGGTATCTATGTCTAGAGAGAGTTATCTCAAGGAAATGGTTCACATAGCTATAGAAGCTGGCAAGGCTCCCAAGTCCATAGATCAGGTATCACCTTGGGAGTTTGTCCTAACTCATGTAGCTGCAGGGGCTGAGGAATCCAACAACGGGTCAAATAGCAGGCTGCTGGCTCACAGGCTGTGGAAGCTGTCTGTCAATTCCCCAAACCAGAAGGCAGATGATGATGATCTAGGAGCATACGAACAAGCCTTCAAGGAATTCCTATAGATGTGTTTGTGTGCATACATGGATATGTGTAAAAGATGCAGGACACCCCCCGCCCCAAGAAGCTTCCCATACACCAATTGAGTGATCATATCAGATCACAATATAAAAAATAATTATATCATAACTGCCAAACTCTATTATCACTAAACTGCCAGACCACTGAAAACGATAGCCCAGCCAAATTGATACTCAACATTAACTATCAGAAGTCCACCCCCTTGTCAATTTGGCACCTGTTCATGTCTCAAGCTATACAAAATCTCTAAATCAAGATAAATACATGTAGCTGGCGCTTTAAGTGAAAGGCAGTCTAGGAGGTTGCCAGGTCAGGAAACATGACAGATACTGTACTGCTGGGACTCAC